TAATGGTAGGAAAAAAAGAATGAATGCAAAAGAGAAAGAAAGAGACAGGAAATAAAAATAAAATAAAAAAAGAATTGAGCGAGAATTTATACTATGTGTGAGAGAATTTCTTCTTTTATTATTTTTATTTCATGGATATATGGCAAAAAAATTTGCATAATGTTTGTACATATAACCATGAGAAGAGATTCAGAGAGAACGTAATAGGTGCTATAGTTGTTTATAGTGCAAATTTTTTTAAAAAAAGTGTGGTTTGGCAGATTGGGTTAATTAGATAAGTCTTTATAGTATGGATACAGAAGTTTTGGCGCTTAGGAAGGAAGTAAGTTAATGGCTTAAATTTGATATTTGCGTTATTTTTTTGCTAGTTTTTTAATTTATATTTTTTCTACAGGACCTAGTCGCTATTTCGGTATTTTACTTTGTAAAACAACGCTTTACACACTTAATTGAGTTTATTAACTAGTTTATTAACATTTTTTTTATTAAGTTGGTTCATTATAATCTGATACAAACAATTCGATGGTTTCGACCGTTACAATTTCCAAGAAAACTTGTGAAAATATCTTATTTGTCTGTCTGCCATACAAAATTCGAAGTTTCATGCCCTGCAGTTTGAAACTTTCGAAAATTAAGAAAAAATTAAAACTTAAATTAAGAAAGATTTATAAGAAATTTAGATGAACATATTATGGAGTCATTTAATGATAAGCATAATATAGCTAAATCTTATTCAAAACGATCAAAAACTCCAATAAAATCAACAAAATTGTAACGGTTTTTTTCAAATTTAAACTTTTCGAACGTGCATATTATAACTCCCCTAGACTTTCGATACGTCTGTCGAACATGAATTGTTCGTATCAGATTATAATATATTAGCCTTTTCTGTTTTTTATACTTAAATCCAACGACTGCAAACAAGAACTCATTTTCGGAAAAAGGTACTTCATTTTCGAACTTGATTTGAATTTAAAATTTCCGTTGAAAATATTTGTTTACATTTCTTAGTTTTTATTGAATTTATAAAATTTCATTTTTTTAAAATAGTCAGAAATTGTGTAATTACTGGTTGTAAAGGAAAGAAAACCAATAAAATACCTTTGTTTGAACTTCCAAAAAGCTCTGTGCATAAAGATAAGTGGATTGAATTTCTTAAATTGCATAATATTGAATATTGCTGTAAAAAAATATTTCTTGTGTATTCTTGAATTTATTTATAGACAGCTTAATTTTTTTAACTTATGTTCTGATCCTTTCTTTAACCAGAAATTCATCAATACAGTAATTGCACAAATTGAAGTCGATTTTGAACATTGTCAAGATAAAATTGATAAATTATTAAAAGTTTTTGTTGAATTTAGAGTAAAATTACTAAAATAAATATATTTTTATTAATATCCTAACGATCATTTCTTTTTTAAAAATTTTAATAGTTCGAAACAGTTCGAAATTTTTCGAATTTCAGTTTGAATTTTTCGAATCTAACTGAAGTTTTCTTTGTTTGCGTTGGACTTAAATTAATTTGTATAATATCGAGTAAGCATTAAAATTAGATAATTGCTCATTACAATGGTTGTTCATTAACGAATGATTCGTAAATAAATTCTTTGAGTCTAATTTTAAATGAACTTATAGAGCTTGCAGTTCTTATGAAGTTTGTAGTATTATTGTAGCTTACAAAGGCACAGATTTTAAAGTTCTGTGCTCATAAATGAGATTTTAGAAAGTAGCGAAGCTTCAAAAATGAAGCGGAGCTTTAAGAGAGTCTCACAACTTAGGTTAATGACGCAACTTTAGTAAAAGTTACTTTTTAAGTTAAACTTGCAGTTTTTGATGCTTACTTTAATAAGATCTTTTAGAAACAACTTTTATTTATTTAATTAAGCATTTTTTGACTCTTAAATTTTAGAGGTCATTTTTCGAAAGGGGCCGTTCACTTATTACGTTACGCAAAAAAACGACATTTATACTGTACAGCTTAATAGGTCATGTTTTGATTGATACTATTAGTATTCTTATGAATTTTTGGATTGAGATATAAAGCAAAAATTTTTTTTTGAAGAAAATTCAAAAATGGCATGAAAAATATTATGCCCGATCGAATTTCGAAAAATTCAATCAACTTTGATTTGTAAATATCACAATGATGGGATCATATTAATCATCATATGAATGACAGATTTAGAGAGATTTACTTTTAAACTTATGATTGATATAATTTTGAAAATTTCCACAAATTATGATTGTATTTTAAAGTCTTGTAAACCAGTTTTCTATTGATTTGTTACTTAATATAACAAAAACTATGTATTGCTTAGCTATCAAAAGAGATCTGGACATAAATCATTAAAGAGGTGAAAAATTTTAAAAAAATGTTTTTGGTGTGAATTTGTAAACAAATTTTTTTCGTGAACTTTTTTTAAAAGACAGACGACAGCTAGAACGTTACATACTTCTTGACCTCCCTCCCCCCCCCCCCACCTATGTTACATTTGGTTACAATTTTTCAACTCCCCCCCCCCCCTAAAATGCGAACGTAATAAATGAACAGCCCCAAAACGAACAATAGATTTCCAGGAATTTCTATCTATTGTTCTTTTCTTGTTGACCCCCCCCCCCCCTCTGGACGTCGTAAGTGAACGGCCCCTTACCTTGATATGAGACTTTTTAAAAGCTCCGCTTCATTTTTAAAGCTTCGCTTCTCTCTACAAATACAGTATACTTTTCAGTGATTCCCCAATTCCTGATTGTCAAAAACTAGTAAAAAGATCGCCAGTACTTTGGATCTGGGCGACTTCAGCGTATTTTCCTCTTACTGATCAGTAAACTTAGTTGTAACTCAAAATCGTTTGAGGGCCTTAATTTTTCGTACCAGATCTTTAATAGTTCGTTCCAGATTTTTATTTTAAAGATCTGGTAGCATTTAAAACATGTCCCGTATCAAAAACATAAATTCAGTAGCTCTACAGTCATAGTCAACCCCTAAAACAAAGATCCAGTAGCTTTACATTCACATCCATCATTAAAAATAAAGAACTAGTAACTCTAATGTCATATCCAACACCAAAAACTAGGATCCAGTAACTCAAAACTCATATCCAACACCATCAACAAAGATCCCATAACTTCAATGTCATGTCTAACACCAAAAACAAAGATCCAGTAACTCTAATGTCATATCCAACACCAATAACAAAGATACAGTAACTCTAGAGTCATATCCAATCCCAAAAACTAAGATCCAGTAACTCAAAACTCATTTCCAATCCCAAAAACTAAGATCCAGTAACTCTAAACTCATATTCAACACCATCAACAAAGATCCAGTAACTCTAATGTCATATCCAACACCTATAACTAAGATCCAGTAACTCAAAACTCATATCCAACACCATCAACAAAGATCCCGTAACTTCAATGTCATGTCTAACACCAAAAACAAAGATCCAGTAACTCTAATGTCATATCCAACACCAATAACAAAGATACAGTAACTCTAGAGTCATATCCAATCCCAAAAACTAAGATCCAGTAACTCAAAACTCATTTCCAATCCCAAAAACTAAGATCCAGTAACTTAAAACTCATATCCAACACCATTAACAAAGATCCAGTTACTCTAATGTCATATCCAACACCAAAAACAAAGATCCAGTAGCTCTTTAGTCATATCCAACACCAAAAACAAAGATCCAGTAACTCTAATGTCATATCCAACACCAATAACAAAGATACAGTAACTCTAAAGTCATATCCAATCCCAAAAACGAAGATCCAGAAACTCAAAAACTAAAATCCAGTTACGTTACATGAAGCAACGTTCAAAATTTTAACGGCTATTTTGAAATTTGAAATTGTTTTATCAAACTCGTATGTTATGCAAAAGTCGGCTAAGTCGTTGCAAAAAACATATAAAAGTTAATTTAATTAAGTTTTGGTAAGAAGTTATGAAACATAAAGCGGATTCGGTTTGCCTACAATATGGCAAGGATTGAATGCAAAAAATCCGAAGGCTCTATATGCTTTCATTGCTGAGATCTCACGGTACCAGCCAGCCAGCCAGCCAGCCAGCCAAAGTGAAGATAAAAGCGTATTGTTCCTTAGGAAAATACGCTAAAAAATTGAGTGAATTAAGTTATCTGATTATGATGACCATGTTTTCATACATTTTAATTAAAAGAAATCCTTAATGTTACGTTAAATACAGAAAGCATAAATTAATTACAATTTCAATCTCCCCAAACCATTCAGCAATATTTTAAATTAAAACATCCAAATCAAATTTCCCTGAGACCTAAATACCCGTAAAAACCAACTCAAAGCTTGCTACATCAAACGGATTTGTAATGAAATTATCTCTCTTTTTTGTATGTTCAATTTAACTATATTTACATTTTCAAGCCAACAGAAATGCACTTTCGTCACACATTTTAAAAGCCAATGATCATTTTTCTACTAGCTCGTTGCTTTTGTTTTGTTTGGCATTGCATATTCTCAATATGTGTAGGAACGAACGAACGAACGATAGAGGTTTATTGTAAGTAGATAAATAGATGAAAAGAAGAATATAAAACGAAATAAGAATTGGCATGAAAGATGCCAGGCCAGAGTATTGTTTCCACTCTTTCTCTAAAGCGGAAATTTCGTCGAATTTTCAATCCCAATGTGTATAGATTTCGTATCATGTTATTATGTACGTTTACATGAATGTAACTACAGACTCCAGATATGTGATACTGAATGTATGGTACAAAATAATAAAAAGGTAAAGTAAGAGTGAGATGGAAGTTAAGTGGCTTGATGTAAGTAGGAAAAAAAATATACATGTATAAATATTGTGGTAGTATTTTCAAGTGCAGGTTAAGTGTATGATAATAATCAAATTCACAAGATGACAACATACATCTAAATCGAGCCAAATATGTTACTTGAGTTTTCACTTTTTATCATAACATGAAGATATATATATTTATATTTTTATACACCGTCGTACATACCTGGAAAAGCTTTTGATTTATTTTCGCATTCGAAGGCACCTCAACGTTGTATGTTTTCTGGTCAAATTCGGGTGAATTATCATTCACATCTTCAACTTTGATTACCACTCGAGTTGTTGACGAGAGTTGTGGCTCACCATCGTCCATTATCATGACCTAGAAAATAAGAGCAAAAAAAAAAATAAGGTGTAGAAGCATTTGTATATGTGATGTGACGAGAGTGAGAGAGGAAAAGTCAATGAAGATGAAAGGTAAGTGTCTTTTCATTCGAGTGATTATATGTATACCTCCACTCGTCTCCACTCGTAGGAGTCGATGGTGATGATGATGAGATTGAACTTAATGAGTGTATAAAAATGTGTGATTTATTAACATGGTAATATGGACAATAGGGGTTTCCGAATATGATTCTTTTTATAGAAATATTTATTACTTTTCTATGATCTACCCACAATATCTAGTCATCAATTTTTTTTTTCATTACTTTTTTGTGAAATCTTCATTTACTTATTCCAAAAAGAACCTTTGAAAACATATCCAAATGAAACTCATATTTTCGAGTCAATTTTCTCTTACTTTGTGATACTTTTCAACCTTGACAAAATCTCTAGAGAGATTTCTGCATGATTTTCATATTTGAACCCTTAGTAAGACTTTCATCTTCGTTTTTTGAATTGATTTGATTGACATTTTGTATACAAAACCAATAAAATCATCTTAAAATTTCCTTAAAATGTTACATAAAATTCGATACATGCTGAATATATTACATTAAACTTCATGAATCTTCTCCCTTGTGACAATGAAAACCTGTTAAAGTCAGCAACTCAATATATCTTCCTCATTTTACTTATTTTGTTAACATAAAAGTTTTTATATTTATTAATAATTTAAAATAAAAAAATTATCAACTTTATTTGGTTTTTATATTTAATTTATATTGTTTGTCAACATATACGTCAATCAAAAGACAGAAACAGAAGGATTAATTTAAAAGTTTTAAGATTGAAATTACTTTTTCAAAATTATTATTTTTAAGAGAAGTTTTAACAGACTTATCCTTAAACGGCTTAAGGCTTATAGCTTCTCTTATTAAACAAAAGCTAGTAAAATTATCAGAAAAGTGGTTTCGATCCCATAAAAAATGGCATGCTTAGGTTTGGTGCCAAAAAGACACTTTTTCACGAGTTTAATTTTAAAAAAAAACTATGTTATAAGTTTTTCTTTAATTAATGCTTTTTGAAATTTCAATATAACTTTTATGGATATATTTGACATTAACGAATGAATTGAAACTTCTTAAAAAGTTAAAACACGCATAACAAAATAATTATAGCAATAAAATTTCATTTTAAAATGTTAACAAATTATTTTCAAACCAACACTTCTAAATTCAAATTCAGAAAATACGTTACTTAACAAAATTATCATATTCATAAAATTATGAGTGTTTCAACTGTTCATACTGACAAATCCCATGAAAATATTTAGATAACGACACTTTGAAGCTCAATTCGCAACATTAGATATCATTTGACAAGAATTCAAATAACAAAAGTATATATATTCCAAAAGTTTCTCAAGGATATACAGTTCAAATATCCTATGCATATGATTATACAAGAATGGAATGGAATACATTCAAACTTTTCGTTTTTCTTTCCTTTTTAATAAAAAAAAAGAAAAAAAGAAATAACAATATTATTATGTTACGCATAATTTCGGAAATCCACTACGAGATTCTCATCCACATTAAGTATCCCTTTTCAGATTGCGGATGAGCATGAGACAAAAAATATCAACTTTCATTTTTATTCTCCGAGATTGCGGAATCTCTAATCAAATGACCAACTACAAATTTCCTATAGCACTGCTCCGTAAAAAGAGCGAATGAACTCACACTGTTTTTGGACACCTCATGTGGGCTTATTTTGTTACAAATTGAGGTATACATTTTCGGAGCGTAGATTCAATGCGAAAAGTATCCTCAATTTTATCACTCACAAATTTATTTTTTTTTTTTCGGTGTAATTAATCTCTTCATCATCATTATTATCATTTTTATGTAAACTTTACTTTTTTTTCTTTTCGTATCAAATTTCTCACCTCTAGTATATGCTCCGGTTGATTTTCTCGATCTAAACGTCGGGAGGTTGTTGTAATCAGACCTGTTGTAAATTATGATATTAATGTAAAGGTTTTTAGGTCATAAAACAAAGCTTGTAGAGAACATTTAATTTATTTAATGGTCAAAGCGCATTACTGGACTAGATAAAGGAAGGATTTAAATGTCATTAATATTAATTAAGAAAAATGATCTTGATTCTTAGCTGAAAGTTCAACGATTTTTTTCAAAATTCAAAGTTTTAAAGCTTTATGATTTAAAACTAAGAACACGTTCTCTCAAAATGATGAAAACCTTAAAAATCATCTTTAAAGCTCTAAGTAATCTAGATATTCTTATGTCAGGGTAATTAATCAAGCAAAGTGAATTTATAACCTTATTTATCTTCCAAAAAAATGCGCTTCAAAGGAAAGAAAAAATAAAAATTGAAATAACCAAAAAAAAAAATTGTAATGAGAAGGCAAGGAAAGCAGAAACAGGAAAAAGGTAAAATATTAATAATTCGCGTAGGAATAATTTAATGGTAGGCAAAGCTCACAGTAAGCGAAAAAAAGGGAAACCTAAATGTATAGATACGGTAGCTGGCGTTGCTAATACGAGAAAAGATAAAATAAAAAAAAGGAGCTGTGCAGGACGAGAAAAGACTCATCTCATCTCATTTACCTGTTGTTGTATTAATAGCAAAGAAGCCCTCGGGATTGCCTGATATTAGTCTATATGAAATTTTCTGATCCACATCTACATCGTCATCTGTAGCCTCAAGTTGAATTATTTTAGTACCAGTTGGACTATTTTCCAGCACGGACGGATAGTAAACAGGTTGTTCCGTTAAGGGTACATTGTCGTTCTCATCTTCAATTTTAATAAAGACCTGGAAAGATAGATAGAAAATAAAAAGAAATATGGTGAGAAGTGCCAAGAATATTATTTTTCCATCATTATTGCCATTGTTATTTAGATTTTTGTTTTCCTACTTTTACACAATGTAAGACAACATGCATACACGAGAGACATGTGACACATGACACACATATTGAATTTATTAAAGAGAAAATAATAATAATAAAAAATTAAAGTGAATAGGAAGAAGAAGAAGTCAAGTGGAAGTCGAGAAGAAATGCCAATGGCAGCAGAATGTAATTGAACCAAGAAGGCAGAGTCGAAAAAAAAATCGCAAAATAAACATTAATAAACTTTAATTGAATCAATAAATATGATAAATTATGTTAATATTAATTCAATTTAAATACGAATTGGATGGATGACCTTTGTATCAGAAATTGAACTCTATTTGCTCTAATATAACTTTTTTGTTATTTATGGCGCTCTTTCTTTTCTCGTATTCATATTTATTATTTTATTTGTCGTAATATTAAGGCAGTTTATTCATTAATAACAGCACATATTGTCTGTAGAATAAAAGAAACTCTCTGTGTAGAGATCTGGGTGTGTTTTTCGATGACTTTATGGAAAAAATGCACTTTGTGAACGGTAAAAAAATAATACAAATTTTTTTTTACATTACTCACGTTATTGTTGTAAAATTCTTTGGTTATGACATAATGTGCTACAGTTTTATATTGTGTATAATAAATATTATTTATTAATTATACCAGCTCTGTCCAAACTCTTGACCACAGTATATAATGGTGGTGAGCTTTATATTAAATAACGTTGTCATGGCTTGGATACTTTTGGGTTATTTTTAATTATAAGTTCTTAATTGATTTTTATTGGTCACAAAAGTTTAACAGAAATTTTGAATTTGAATAAAAGATTCAAACTGTCGTGAGATTTTTGAAATTGATGCTAAAGAACAGAATTGAATTAAGAAACACGATAGGGATCGTTCACTTATGACGTCCGAAATTAACGGTAATTTTTCAAAAAAGAACAATGAATTTCCAGGAATTTCTTCTTTTCTTGCTGACCCCCCCCCCCCCCCCTGGACGTCATAAGTGAACGGCCCCATATAAAAAAATGTTAATTAACATTGAATTGAAGCAATTAAGGAAAGAATAATTAAAAAGATCGATAAATTATCGTGTCGAAAAACTGACTGACATAAAAATTAAGGAACTCTTCAGAAATTAGAGCAGCAATAATTCGCTGACACATTATAAAAATTCTCATCTAAATCTTGTGTCTTTAATGGATATAACTGGGAATCATTTACTTAATTTACAGGTCACCAGTAGATTTTAAATCATAGCTTCATGTCACCCAAGAGTGTCGTTTCAAAGAATTTTACTTCATTTCGTATTAAATTCAATTGGAATTTGTGAAGTACTTTATCTTGAGCTGGACTTTTTTTCCCACAATATTTGGCAAAAGCATAAATTTTACTGATTAAATTAGCTGAATATGCTCATATAAAATAAATGAATTTCATTTTTCATTAAAAAAAACTAAATGTCAATTTTATTCTAAATCAAAAAAGCCAATTATACGCGACTATATCACAATCCTACACTGATTCCGAGCAAATTAAATTCCTAAATTAATTTTTATTATCATTCATCAGTGACTGTCAAAAAATTGAGAATATAATCCAATCCAGTTATTCATATTCAAAACAACAATATTTGCTTATCGAAAAATCCAATTTGATTTGATTATCTGAATAAAAATTTTGATGTGGGCAGAACGAATTTTCCCTAAAGTAAATAAGAGAAAAGAAATGTGAAAAATTCAAGGGTCAATAAGACTGTGAGAATTCGATAAAAAAAAAAGTTCATAAACAAATAATGTAAACGACATTTTTATTTTGTGGTACACAATAAGCAAGAATTGAATATGATTTCATTGTGGTTGAATAGAATTTGAGTAAGGCAATGTGATTGCTTTTACTATTATCATGCAAAAGAGCAAATAACATTTTTGTATTTATTTACCGCAAATTTGAAGTCTATGACATAAAGAACTTTATTGTTTGCTTTTAACTCAATCATACTCATTGAAATTTCAAACTAATTTGTGTAGGAATTTCAGCTTTTTATTGATGTTAATAATAAAATTCTTTAAAGTCTAGCATTCTTCAAAGTTTGGGTGTGCTGATGGAAAACTTACTAAAGATATTTCTAACGCTGTTGAAGTTCTATTTGACTTTTAATTTATTTTCTTTAAATTACATTTTAAAGATATTCACGATTTTGAACATCAATGGTGGAGAGAATTAGCAATCCGAATTTGATCTTAAAGAATGTTACATTGGTGCAATATTATTGTTAAAAAAGTGAGCTTTTTCAGCTCAAAATGACAAAATCCCAGGGACGGGCTTATTTCTCTATTCAGAAATTAAAAAGTACCATATTTTCTAGTTAAATTTCAAAATTTGAATTTGTAAACGCCCTCCATAAAATATATTTTTTGGAAAATTCTCATTTTATCCAATTTTATCAATTAATTGACAGTAAAAAAACTGGCTCCAGAAAACTAAATCATAATGATTGGAGCTTGATTTTTACAAACAAATTCAATGTTAATTTTTTGAAAAATGTTTGATAGTTTTAGTGTGGATTCAAATTTAACGGCATGATTTCTAGTCGCCACCCCTGGACAATATCCTAGCTATTTTGCTCATTCTGTTTTTCAAAGCATTGAAAGAATTACCTCTAAGCCTTAAAACTACTGAGAATCATAAAGTATACTCGAAAATTTTCAAAACAAGCATGTTATCCAAATATTTAATTCCAAAAAGTGCCGATCTGTTAGCTCACCACCCAGTCATGCCACCTCATAGCAATAAAATACCAACAAAATAATTTCAGATCAAATAAATTTTATTGAGTTTAATTTCCAAAGAAAATGTTTCCCAAAAATGCTTAACTTGTAAATACCTAACAAAGCATTAGAATTGATTAATCATCCAATTAAAGAACCAAAACATGTCGGAACAATAAGCCTTCTTTTGTACTGGTTTAGCATGATACATGAGGAATAATGTACTTCCTACATCAAATTATGTGTGTCGCTTGAATTTCATGGAATTTATGAGCATAAATATAAAATCGAGAGGGAAATAAAATTAAGGAAGTGTTTGTTGATTAATTGCTCATTTATGAGGGCATTGACATTTGAATGAATTTCGTCTAAATTGTATTAAAGCATGCCGCAAAAGTTGACACAGATTTTGTGTGCTCTCAAATTCTCTAATTGAAATATTTTTGTTGACTTCTTCAAAATCAAATTAAAAATGTTTTTTTTTTGCGCAATCATTCTTGGAAAGAGCTACACAGACATAGTTGAGAGCAAAACATATTTGCTCAATAAGAAACAATTCAATGTTCATTTATTGCTGATTGCCTTTTCTATTTGAATTGCTTTTCAATGAACTTTATTAAAATTTAAAATTCTTATTCTCTTATTTTTAATATTTTTTTCTACTCTTTCTCTTTAGAAACTTTACTGGGAGTGACTTTCGATTCAATTTGAATGGGAAATAAGTTGTCGACTGAGAATATAGTTATAAACTTTTATATTCGATGAGATGAAGCGTATTTTTTATTATAATTATGAAATTTATAACAAACTTTGTTGTAAGTTTGAATTTTATTGAAATACTTTGATTCTGTTTTTGATTAAGTTTTTATTAAATCTATTGTTTCAATTAAAAGTTAAAATAATATGAACGACCTTTTACGAAACTTGATATTAATTACAAGATCATCTGAAAATTGACCCAATAAACTTTCGATTTCCATAAAAACTCAGTCAGAAAAGTCTAAAGGAAAGGCAATAAAACTGAAACTACCAATTTTGTTGATATCTTCAGATCTGGGCAACCTGCCAATCAGAGTAAACAACAAACCGCATCATCCACAATAAAAATGTGCTAAAAATGCAATTTTTGTAAATTATTCAATATGGCAAAAACTTTTACTTCTTTCTTGTTCTTATTATTCTTACTCATTCACTATTCCAATTGATTCTCTTTCTCTTCTGTTGCCTTGAATGAAAAAATCTTTTTTTTTCACGTCATCCATTTCCACAAAATATTCTTTTTTCCCCTCACGCCTTAACTTTTTAGCCACCAAATGACTTTTTATGACAGGGTCGCGTACACCAAAAAATTGCTTGTGAATGAGAAAAAAAGAAACTTTCGTTCCTTTCTTCTTGTCTCAGCACAGAGCGAACATAAATTGAATAAATCATAATTCTTTCAATTTTTTGACATAAAAAAAATTGTTGTTCTTGTACTGCCATTATTTCCTTTCTTGGGGTTTCCCTTCCATTTTAAATATAATATTGAATTTAATGATATAAGAAGTAAACAGATAAATAAGAGGAGCATCTTTGTAGAAGCTTTCGGGTCGATCCAAGAACTGTAAATCTGTCAAAGCAATGCATAAACATAACACTAAAAAGTCTATAGAGCTCCATCAGTACTAAAAATATGACTTGAACAGTGAGAGAAATAGCAAACAAGTGGAAAGGTCAATAGATGAATGTTATGAGGAATTAGAGCGCATACTGTTGGCAGATGTGGGTTTCTTGACATTAAAATTATTTTTAAAACTATTTCAAGGTTATTGTAGATCATCTGAAGTTCAACACATGTTTTGGATTAAATTTATCATTTCAATCATCAATGCAGCATATTTATGGATACATTTTAAATTAAAAAGAAAATAGATGAAAGTTGCATTAAAATATTAAGCTCCAGTTCACATAGCAAGTATGCAGTTGCATTCATTACTTGCTTCTACTTCCGATAATTCATCCATCCAGCAAGTAAATAAGCCATCCAAAACGTTTTCAAAAGCTCATTCACAACAAAATAAAACATAAAAGGCACCAAAAACACAAACTTTTCTCTTCAGCATCCTCCGTCTTCTATTTTTCAATTTCAGAAGAAAGCAAGCCGGGAAATTGCCGAGAGGAGTTAGTGCTGCGGTGGTGGTTTGAAATTCGAATTAGTAGTATAAGGTATGGAGGCATAAGAGACACATTAAATGAAAATATTTTCATTTTTCAATGTGAACGGGCACAGCAAAAATAAGGATTCAGTGGGGGATGGAGAAATCCCACAACATAAAATATTTTGAGCATCAAAAGCAGCATTAGTATATAAAGCATGTACATACCTCACAGCAAGAATGTAATGGAACAATGCCATGATCCTGAGCACAAACTGTTAACCAATAATGTGATTTAACCTCAGCATCAAACTTTACCATGCTTCGGATATTTCCTGTTTTGTATAATTTTTGGATGGAAAGAAAAAAATATGTTTAAAATGTTAATTAAATCAGCATGAATCAATTCGAACGTTAAATAATTTTAATTGCTCATTTATTTCCCTCCTCGTCTCGTCTTTCATTCTTTACTTCGTCTTCTTCTCCTTTTTATTTTCGTCTACACAGTAGAGTACACACAGTAAGGATATAAATTAATAATAAAAAGAGTATATAAAAAAGTATCAAAAAATGAGGCAACTCATCAGATGCCAACGTACAAACGAGCGAGATGGAGGAAGGAAATAAGTGAGGGAAAAAAAATTTTTATGGTTCAATTGGTTTTTTGAAAATTACCTTCATTATCGATAGCGAAAAGCCCGAGACCGTCTCCTTTGATTGTTGAATATGAGACACGTGAATCAGGTCCCGGAATATCAATGTCTTTTGCAGCAACTTTCATGACTTGTGTGCTTGGATTTTGATTTTCTTTTAATGATCCCATTAGTACAAAATCTTCAAATTGCGGAGCAAAGCGATTCTCGTTGACATCAATCACTTCCACAATAAGTGATGCTGAAAATAATTTAAATGAAATGAATATATTGCATGGAAGAAAGGTAGGAAATAAAATGAATGTATGGGCAATTTTATGGGTAATTAAACTAATGTAATTTTCATATAAACTATAAATTACGTGCAATTCTGTTTTTTTATTCATGGAGTACTATTAATTAAATTTCACGTCATGTTTATGTAGGCGGGAGGTCGGTTTGCTATTTTTTAATTCAATCATGACTTTAAACTTTTCATTTAAATTTTTTTCCTCATCTTACTATTTTTTTGTGGGTACCCAAAATGTTTAACCCCCCCGGACATCATAAGTGAACGACCCCTTAATGACTTTACTTGTAAATTTGCCTCAATTTCAAAAGTTATTAATTTTTAATTGCTCTAGTTTTACCCAATTCGATTACTGTGGGAATAAACAAGATAACAAACATGAAAGCGAGGAAATATAACTTACTTGAACTCGAAAGCGATGGTAATCCCTTATCGACTGCGACAATAACCAAACTATGAATTTGTCGTTCCTCAAAATCTAGCTGTTTTGCTGTACGAATTGTGCCCGTATATTTATCAATCTTAAAGAATCCCTCTCCACTTGCTCCAATTCCCTCGCCAAATGCATATAAAACTTCTCCATTATTTCCTTCATCTAAATCATTTGCCGTGACTGTCGCAACAACTGCGCCTATGGGAACATCTTCTCGTATACGAACGTTGTAGTCAGTCAAATGAAATTCTGGTATACAATCATTAAAGTCGTCAATTTTAATTTGTATTAGTGCCTCGGATGAGAGTGATGGAAAATCGCTATCAGTCGCGCCCTTGTCACCTCCATCCGTAGCTCGTACACGCAATTCATACAAATCTTGTTTTTCACGATCCAATGGTGCAGAAATTGACAGAACACCAGTTTCACGGTCGATTGTAAATTGTGATGTCTCGGTGACAAGACTGTATGTAACTTTACCATTTAATCCTTCATCTTTATCGTTTGCATTGAAGCGAAAGATAATTGTACCATTGCGAGCATTCTCCGAAACATGTAAGCTCGCAAGCGATTTCTCAAATATTGGATAACAGTCATTCTCGTCTAATACGGTTATTGGCAGCAAACGCGAAACAGATTTTTGTGGCTTACCCAAATCATAAACTGTCACGTTCAATAGATATTCACTCTCCTTCTCACGATCCAAGAAGCCAATAACTTTCAATTCACCAGTTTCCAAATCAATTCTAAATAAAGAATCATTGTCACCATCGGATATACCATAGCTATTTGGTTGATATTAGATCAGGAAAGAATGCAGAAAATGAACAGAAAAGAGAGAAAAAAAAAATTGAAAATTTCAATTTGCTATAAAAAATAAGATACCGAATTGCTTGAGAAAAAAATATTTGCTATTCATCTCATCTCATGTTACGGTTGCTTGGACTTGAAAGAAAATTTGTGGGTGTTTTTTTCTTCTTCTTTCCCGTACTTTTTTTTCTTTTGCTGCAGCAAATTTCAGCAAACATCTCTATAAAATGTGAATTCATTCGCCTCTTTTCTACACTAACTCATTCGCTCTTAGTTGAGAGAAAAACATCAGACTAGTTAAAGATTTGGTGACTCATGAACGACTGAAGCGCATTTTATAATTTACAGACTATCAAACTCCCTATTCGTCTCTTATATTCCTTCTGACCCTAATTATTTACATAAACCTACGAATAACACAAGTCAGCTAATCGAATAGAAATCCAGCAACAAGCCAACATGATACTGTTTTCCATTAAAATCCAGCATCATGCCAGATTCACACCTCGTTCAGGATTTCTGATCTATTAACCGACTTGTGCCATTCAGGTTGTATAGTTAAACAGTGGACGGACGGACAAAATATATTCAAAAGTATCATAGTCTCCTTTAGTAAGGCGCACCAAAAAGCGACGCTAGAGTTAAACCAATAACGAGATTTATACTAGTTTTTCTTCTGTATGACTGTACACAAATAGTATTTGGTAATATATTTTATAAAATAAATTGCAATTTTCACACATTCACATGTGTTTACTTAATTTTTTTTTTTTGCCACTGTTGCTGATGCATCCGCAAAAGTGTTGAGTGGAAAAGCAGAAGAGCGAAGAAATAAAAAATTTAATTTTGATATAAAATTTAACCGCAAAATTTTCACATACTACCCCCCCCCCGTTCACACTACTCACAACTCAATGAATGTATTTTTCAGTTCTACAAAAATACCAAATAATCATCATGATGATAATGATGATTATCACCATTAACAACAACGAGCGTATATGCTTTGTATGTACATGCATTCAAGAATTGATACAATAACCGATAGAAGAGATTGTGAGCAAATAAATTTTCCAGAGCATATTGAAAATAAAAAAAAAAATTTGTTGTATGTGTCGATATTTACACTCTAGCACCATTAAAGCCGAGATCAGCATCTCGTGATTTTATCCATGCAATTGTTGTTCCCAAAAGTACAGTTTCATTGACTTTTATCTCGGTGGGAAAATTGACAAATTCAGGCGAGTGTATGTTTTCACCATATCGACTAGGCATCATAACAAAATCATCATTTCCACTATTACGTTTCGGTGAATTATTCTTCTCGGATAATGCATGCACTTCGGTCCAACGGCGTGCAACGTCTGTTGTTCTGCACTCAAAATTACCATGATAATTTTCATTACGTCTACTCGTGCTACTGTATGATGTCTGTAATAAATTAATTTGTATTCTTATTGTATCAGCAAAGTGTGTGCCATCGGTTGCCGTAACGTTGACATCTCTCTTGTCAACACCGACATCTTCGAGATCACATCCGAGTGAAATAAGGCCACTTGCAGAATCTAAATTGAAGCATCCATCCTCGTTGCCTGACACGATGCGATAACTGATTAAATCGCCTGCATCAAAGTCAATTGCTGAAAGCTTTATCAGCTCTGAGCCGATTGGTAAATGACGTGGTATTTGACCTACACAATCTATTCGCTCAAATTGCGGCCGATGATCATTAATGTTTCGCAATTTTATGTATAGTTTCATTTCTGTTTGCCTATATGCGATAACAAAGCAAAATGAAAAATCAAATCAGCAAATTACGTGAATAATTAATTGAAAAAAAATCAAACGAGGGAAGCTTTACGAATCAATGACTCTTTACTTTGAGCATTTGGCGTATGATGAAGGCAAAAAGCCTTTTTCAAACGAAAGCTTTTGTGTGCAATCGCAGAATTTTCAATAGAATATCCCAGATTTTCAATTATGAATTGTATCTTTTGATTTCTCAGAAGCACCTTTTGTGCATATCCAAAAAATAAAGTTATTTCGAAAAGCTTCCGATCCTCTTAATTAAATTCGATAAATATTTGAAAATTCAATTATAAAGTCAAAGGTGTCATCGCACTTACCTTCTATATGGTATACCCCAATCACTTGCACGTATTTGGAGTACATACTCTCTACGCATTGTCTCATAATCGAGTAGTTTTGTCGTACGAACAGCACCCGTAAAATGGTCAATGTCGAATGGTAAGTCGCCACTCAAATTTAAATTAGCTGTGAATAGGACAGTCGAGATATAGCATTAGTAAATAACACACATAAATAATATGAATGAGGCGTGCGTGTGTTTCGGTAGATTGTGATTAATGGATAATTTATTAATATTGTAATATCATAAATATAATGTAAATTAATGATTATTTACTTACCTATAGAATACGAAATGTATGCATTATCATTACTATCGGCATCGGTAGCCTTCACTTTTGCTACAATTGTACCCGCGGGCTCATTTTCATCAACCCATACTGTCATTGTCGGTGTCTCAAACACAGGATTCTCATCATTCCTATCCTCAATATTGATTTTTACTTTTGCTGACGATTGCTTTCTAGTTCCCGTATTACCTTGATCTATGGCCGATACGGTTAATGTATAAAAAGGCTTTTTTTCGGCATCTAGTATGGCATTTGTGTAGAGCATCCCACTTTCAGGATTTATTTTAAATTCACCATTTTCATTTCCTCCGACTATATAAATAAGAACTTGTCCATTTTTGCCAGCATCACGATCGCTTACTGTAAATTTTCGTATTGGATATTGCAGAGAAAAAAAATAATTGGAGCATAGAGCAAAAAAAAATAAATAAATTGGGATAGAAAAACAAATCTTTGGGAATAAATTGTAAATGGTGTTACCTTTAAGTCGTATCACTGGTGTATTTATTGGAGCTACTTCAGGCACTGATATCTCATATAATTCTTTATTAAAAATTGGATAATTATCATTATAATCAAGTAGTCGTACTGGAACACGCTTATAACTATCTTTTGGTGGCACGCCTTTATCAACAGCACGTAATGTCAAATTATAGCCAGCTGGAGTTGTTTCCCTATCCAAAAGCTTATGTATTTCGATTACAAACTCTCCAGTATTCAACGATGGCTTTATACGAAAATGTCCATCCGGATCTCCATCAACAATCTCAAGTGCTTTAATTTCACCATGAATACCTGAATCTCGATCCTCTACCCGCACAATTCCGTAAATATTTGCATTTGAGTTCTCTACAATCTCATTTAATGCTTGCACATAGATTTCTGGTGCATGTAAATTTGTGTGTTGTACAAAAATTTCAACTGATGCCTTACTCGCTGTATAATGATTACTCTTAAAATTACTATTTACATTATTCAATAAAAGTGACGCTCTGTCTGTTGCCAAAACTGTCAATTGATAGTATGTGCTCCCGCTTGTTGCAAGAGATCTAGTTAATGTCAACACACCGCTGCTTGGATGTATCGCAAATTGTTCAGTCTCATTTAATAAACTATAATAGATTTCTGTTGAATATACAAGAAAAGATATTGGATTAGTTAACACTGACAATATGCTTTGTAAGACACAAAAGTATAAATGAAGGAATCTTATAAGGCGTCTTAGTATGTATTAAAGTATGCAGAAGTCTGCTTACAGATGTGAATGAAATGCTTATCATTGAGACAATTTTTTTTTATATTTTTGGAAAATACTGTGATTCGAGATTGGAATAGAATATAATGTAGGGTTTGCTTAGAGCGAAAACGACATTGTGATTCTAAGTAAGTATGCAATCGTTGCGATTGAATTAAATGCTTATCGATTTGAAGAGATGACAATAAATTGTCTAATTCATTTTATAAAGGAAATAAAGTTAATCTAGGGATAACTCTAGCTTAAGTGTCTAGTAAAAATAGCTTACTTGTGACTGAACTATGTTTCATAATAAGGATAAATTAAAGTCCAATCTCATTCTGGTGCTGACAGACTCACAGTAAGACTAGAGATTGTAAACTTTAGATCTTAATCGATATTTAAAGACTCTAGCTTTTTACAGAAGTTATTCTAGAGTTATAAAATTCCAGTCCTACACCAATTTGATCACCAAGTTTAGACATTAATTTTCGCTAAATTCTGAGTATTTTTTTTATTAAATCCTATTTTTAAATCACAACTGTTTAAAATCTTCAACAAATTTTGTATAAACCACTTGACATAAATTTAAGGAAAAAAATAAATTAATCTCAAATTCCTTCCTTAAATTCTTCAAAAGTAGATCATATTACAAAATAAGAAATTTTGCGCTTCTAATATCTTAAAATTTGATTCAGATACTTAAGAATGTCATTCAACTTCTGCACATTCCTTCATATAAATTCCAAACGATAAAAAAATCTTTAAAATATTTGCCTTTACGTTTATAAAAAGGAGCTCTTAACTTCCGGCAACAATCAATTGAAGTTTTTGATTACAAAGTAAAATCATGACATTGTCGTCATGGTAGTGCTGCTTTAAGGCATTCTCTTTATCAGTGAAATTAACTGTGTTTGATTTTGTGCAAAATTCGTTTGAATTTATTATTTTCATATTCACGTGAAATTTTCGATATTGGTGACATCACACGCTTTAATGTATATCAAATAGTCTTATTAAGCATGATCTACTTTATTTCTAGTTTAACTGTTAAAACAAATTTGAATTTAGTACCAAATATTCAAAATTTTGATTTAACGGTTTTTCTTCTATTTGACAACTTAAATCAAATTCATTTTAATGTATTGGAACCAACTGATTCCTTTACAATCATCAACATGACATAACACAACTTAAAACAGCATCCTTCAAAAATGAAATATTAAAGAAATCAAGAGAAAAAAATTGATCGAAGTGATCGTTGAAAAATAATTTTCTTCATTTCAATTCGAATGTCAACAAGTGAAGTCGGTTAATTATTTCAGTTCAGTTTTCAATTAATTTAAGTGTGAAGTGGTGAAGATTATCTAGTGACAACAGGTGCTTTGAAGAAGGAACAAAAGAAGAAAGGAACTCATTTTCATCAAGTTTTGAGGACTTTTTGGATGAAAATTTTTCTACATTTCTAAAACTTGGAAGTTTTCTCGACTTTCTTCGACTGACTTTGTGGTATGTACCATTTTTAAAGAGTTTTATGTGGTGATGATTATTCAGGATGTCTCAAAGTTCTTAAAAAAATTAAAGCTGAGCAAAAATAAGCTTGCTGTGAATGAATTTTTTTTTCAATCAATTGAGGAATTGGTTCGTTGAAAGATTAACAATGAGCAATTATAAGCACTGTCATCATTAAGAGCATATATGTTCTTAAATTTATTTATTGGACTGTATGTAAATGCACATCAACTTCGGTAAAATTTGCTGAAAATATTGAAAACTTTATTGTGTGAAATCTTCAAAGTTCTATTCACTGGAATAGTTTGAAAACTTTGTTATGATGTCGGAATAAGGACAGGTGTTAACATAAGGAACTAGAGTTGAGTTAATTTTTTTTATATTATTCTCACTCTTTGAAATATTCGTAGTTTCAAAGATCAATTTTAAAATGTTATTTCATTCACATGTAAGTCTTACATATAAGACTACAAATTCTAATACTGAAATCGCAAAAGCAGAACTGAACCTCCTGGTAGAATATTGCTTTTCATGTTCATTCTAATCTCATAAACAAAAGCTTTCGATCAACGTAATTAAACAAAGGTTTTTTTTATTAGAAACACATTAAAGTTCTTAACATTGAGCTGAAACAAAGTGTTTCCTAAAATAAATCAATAAGTAGAAGAACTCACGTACAAAAGTGCCATCGAAGAACAAATAAGCACTCAATAATTTAATGAATTATTGATTAATAAGTGTGTATTGTTAATGGAAATTGATTCAAGAAAATTATTAAGTCTAACACGAAATCTATTGAAGCACCAAAATGTGAAAAGGTGTAAAAATAATCATTTTACTTGATATGAAGCTTGCATGTGCGCAAGAAAATAAGTCATTTAAGAATGAAGTACTATTTCTGGACATTTTTAATCTTCAGGCACTAAAGGAACCGGTCGGTTCCGTAAATTTTTTTTTTATTTTAGGATGCGATAGGGGTTCTAAAATCGGGAATATTCCCGGGAACGGGAATCCCGTTCCCGTTCCCGTTTCTCGAAAATCTGTCGGGAATATTCCCGAAATTCCCGTTTTCATACCAAAAAAAACCGACAATTCAAATTAGTTTTTATTTTATTTTGTATTTTCCATGAAAAAAACTACAATTTAAAGAAAAAAATTATAATAATGAAAACATACGTTAAGGAATTTAAGAGTTGAAATATTAAACTCAAATTTGAGTGTCCATCAAGTAGAACGGTGACCTAACGAATTGAGTGATGGACTATATATGGGTTTTTGTGCTATTTTGTGAAAGCAGAAAAATAACTTTTTTAAATTTTGTGAAGTTGCCAGTTCTGAGATATGAGCATCTGAAAACGGAGCTAGGGCCGATTTTTTACTTTTAACACTTTCGACTGTAAATCTGACAAGGCTTAACGAAAATTGTTCAAACTTGGTCAGTAATTTGTGCAAATGTTTCTTAATCAAATAAAATAAACGAAATATTTTTATCTAGCCTAACCGTTCTACTTGATGGACACCAAATTTGATGTTTTTTAAATCAAAAACATATATTTATGAAAAACGAAGAGAAAAAGTATTTAAAAATATTTTTTAAATGTATGATGTCCATAAAATAATAAACTTAATTGACATTGGATTAAAGTAATTTTTCCAAAAAAAAAAAACGTGCTGGAAATTAATATTTCTGGAATCCACCAACATCTACAAGTGCTGAACGTAACTTTTCAATCTCTAATAATATTGTCGCAAAAAATCGCACTAGATTGCTAGACCAGTTAAAATCGTACTTTAAGAATTGTTCTAAAACCAAAAAGAATTAAATTTCAAACGGAAAATTTTGAATTAATACTATATATTTTTGATAATTTTCGAGCTGAATACACCCTTAATTAACGCAAAAATGTGAAATCACAATCAGTCAAAAAAGGTCAAATTTCTCAGCAACCTTTAACTCTCAATTTTCTCACAATTTTCTTCAGTTTAATTCTTTAAAGACGTGTTTTTAAATATTGTTGCAAATCGGTGCAAATAAATTGGAACTTGACATTATTAATGCTTAAAAAGAAGTGGAGTTCAAGATAAAAGTGATAGTGAAGTGCTAAAATGGAAGCAACAGTGAAAATAAGCCAAAAGTGATGAAAAAATTAAAAGTGAAGAAAAAAATGAAAAATTTTCTGAGTGAACATTGAAAGTTAAGAAAATTAAATTCAAGAAGCTTTAAAATTGAAGTGAAAATGAGATTGATGAAGCTTGAAGGAACCAGGACACAATTAAAGAAGCAAGAGGCTAGTGACAACGAAGAAAAAGCTAAGTATACTAATAAATAGTCCTCAAATTCCTTTTCTTTAATGAAACCAGCCATTTGACTTCCTACAATTGCGTACGTAATGCTTGCAATACGTGAAATGATTACTTAAAAACGCATTGCATTGAGTTTTACATTTCGTCGGCCTTTGTTGATGTAAATTAAGTGTGGGAGTCGTTGAATTGGTCAGAGGGGGGTCGATGCAAGACGAGGAGGGGTAAAACTTGAAGGAGCAAAGTCTTTTGACCCTTTTTTAAAAAGTTTTTCTGTTCTTTTTTTTTTTTTTGTAAATCGAGCCTATGAGTCATGTGTTTCTGCCTGTGAGACTTACTATCGTGGCTATTGATTGGTTCATCCTTGATGTAGAGTGGCATCAAGGACATTGATTGCTTGCTCGTAAATGAGACTTGCAATTTTTTGTCTAGATGCCTGTTCTCACACACAGCATTAGACTTACATCAGGTCCAATGACGTATCGTGTAGTTTAATGTGAAAAATGAGCCTCTGATGATTTGGGTTGTAATCAATAGAAGCTTAATTACAAGCGTCTAACCCTAACCCTAAATTGTGGTTCTTTTTCATGCTCAGGTGTGTGGTAAAGAACGTTTTTGCCTCTATCTCGGACTGTTCTGATTCAAAGCCTGAAAAATGAGCAGTAATGGAATGAAAACACTATTGATTCATTTCCTTGGTTGAAATTAAACTTGATATGATTAACTTTAAAAAGAAGAACCATCAAAAAATTTGCTTTCTCAGTTTAATCTCTCCTTTATCTTGCATCAGCTTCTCTCTTACCTGTCCATCGACTTCCATCTTTAATTTACATCGAGAAAGAGCAAACGCAACGTAGAACTTAATGTTGTGTGATTTTACTTAATCATTTTACGTAACGTAGGCTTTATGTGAGCCTTTTTGAAAGTTTTTCTGACTAATTTCCATCAGAGAAAGTGAATTTGATATCATGAAACTTTAATTTAAACAGCAAATCTTAATTAAGAATTAAATTTATTTTTATTTTACTAATTCGTTTTTAAAATTGCCATATATTTTAGGTTCTTTAAGGATCAGCACTTATAGCCATCATAAAACATTTCATATGTTGTGTTATTTTCTTCACATTTGAACAATTACTCATCGTTCACACACAAGTAAGCACATAGTATGAATATTTGATACAAATTGGATTTATATAGACTTTTTTAACTGACAAACTACAGAAGAATTGTATTGAAGATTTCTTATTGTCTTGACGATGTCTTATTGTCTTGACGATGGTCAATCATAGGGGTTCTAAAATCGGGAATATTCCCGAAATTCCTGTTTTCATACCAAAAAAAACCGATAATTCAAATTAGTTTTTTTCTATTTTGTATTTTCCATGAAAAAAACTACAATTTTAAGAAAAAAATTATAATAATGAAAACATACGTTAAGGGCAATTCTACGAGTGAATGTTCTAAAAACGGAATGTTTATCATTATGAATAGTACTTGTTTGCAATAAATGGCTGTATGAGGAGATATTTTAACTTTTTTACTGTCAATCGGTGGAATTTACCAGAATTTACAAAATGTACTTTAATTTGTTAAATATTTCACTAAACACTCATTTCTGATTTGTGTCTCTACCCAAAAAATGTTTGAATTCACAAATTTAACAAACCTTTAAACATAGCAATAATGCTTTAATATAGCTAAAATTTGTCAAAAACTGTGTCAATCGGTGGAAATTTTACATATTTTCGACTAAGCTTGAAGCGCTTACAAAAATTTAAATTTTAAATTACCGTTGAAATTTTATTCTGTAATATTCTTTACATATGGAAAAACTTATTTTAATTAGTTTTTCATGCCTCTTTTTGCCTTAAAGTTTACACTTTAAGAACGAATAACGTAACAATAATGGAGAAATACACTTTATAAAAAGAAACACTATATTTTTATCCAAGAAATATAACGGATAAAAAAAAATTAAATTTTTGCAAGTAGCGAAAACTTACAATGCAAATTTCTGCAGTTCTTTTTACTCGTAGAATTGCCCTTAAGGAATTTAAGAGTTGAAATATTAAACTCAAATTTGATGTTTTTTAAATCAAAAACATATATTTATGAAAAACGAAGAGAAAAAGTATTTAAAAATATTTTTTAAATGTTTGATGTCCATAAAATAATAAACTTAATTGACATTGGATTAAAGTAATTTTTCCAAAATAAAAAAACGTGCTGGAAATTAATATTTCTGGAATCCACCAACATCTACAAGAGCTGAACCTAACTTTTCAATCTCCAATAATATTGTCTCAAAAAATTGCACTAGATTGCTAGACCAGTTAAAATCGTACTTCAAGAATTGTTCTAAAACCAAAAAGAATTGAATTTCAAACGGTAATTATTGTCAAAAGAATCAATTTGACAATCAAAACAAATAGAATTTAAATTTGATTTAAAAACCTAAAGAAAATACATGGTGTAAGTGTAGCTTTTAACTTTTTTTTGTTGATTCCCGGGAATATTCCCGTTCCCGGACATCATTCCCGTTCCCGTTCCCGATTCCCGAAATCTTACGGGAACGGGAACTCTGGAACCCCTAGGATGTGATTCCTTGATTAAAAAGAAACAAAAAATTTTTTTTGGATGTAAAAGAACTGGGCAGTTCCAGTGTCTAATCATACCTCTTGCTAAGAAACACAAACGTATACCTCATTGACAATGAAATCATATCAAAAAATGCTTTAAATGGACTGGAATTGACTAGTTCCTCATATGATGCTAGATCCATTCATGCTTTATCATTTAGAGCTATACTACAATATCCAAAAGCCAGAAAGGATATCCATGATTAATGATCAATGTTTTCTAATAATCTTCTGAAATTCCCAAACAAATTTTCATCTTCAAGTGATTTAAAATCCCAAAAAATCCCCATACAATGTGATTTAAATCATAATTCACAAATAAATCTTTTATACAAAATGATTTAAATCATAAATCACAAATAAATCTTTCATACAAAATGATTTAAATCATAAATCAAAAATAAATCACTTGGGTAAAATGATTTAAATCAAAAATCATTTTTCAAATCGTTGCAAAATGATTTCGATTTTGATTTATGATTTAAATCCCTACCCTGGCTATTTTAGAAGTAAATTCATTTTTCCACCAAAATAAATTTGAGGAGATAAATATTTGAGTAAAAATTTTGCAACAAAACAAGGAAGTTTTGAAAAGAATTCTGAGAACTGTTACTGCCGGAAGATTCATTTATTTAAATTGTTATTTTGTTTTTTGATAATTTTTGGAAAGTTTTCGTCGGGTTTTTGAAACAAAAAATTCAAATTAAATTTGTTCAAGCAAAAATTTGACCTGATTCTAAAATTAACCTCAAATTATCAGTGCATTCCGAAATACTTTCAACAATTTACGTGAATATCATTGCAAAATGATTTTGATTTTGATTTATGATTTAAATCCCTTCCCTGGCTATTTTAAAAGTAAATTCATTTTTCTACCAAAATAAATTTGAGGAGATAAATATTTGAGTAAAAATTTTGCAACAAAACAAGTAAGTTTTGAAAAGAATTCTGAGAACTGTTACTGCCGGAAGATTCATTTATCTAAATTGTTATTTTTTTTTTTGATAATTTTTGGAAAGTTTTCGTCGGGTTCAAGATATATAGATGGGCTCATACAGAGTATACTTGACCATACTATTTTTTGTGTACTTATACAAACAAAAATTTTTAAAATTTTCTATTTTCAAGTTTTCATCTAAATATCGACAGATGCAACAACATTTGTCTTAAGTCAGTTTCTTTAAATTATAGCAAAGCATTTGCAATACTCCTGTATCAACAAAACTTAACAGAAAGTTGAAAATTTTGCAAAACAAAAATTAAAAATTTTCTTTTATAGTGTTAGTGTTTTTAGAAAATTCAAATTTTTGACGTTTAAAAACTGCGATATTTTTGTATGAGCACATCTATATATCTTGGTCGGGTTTTTGAAACAAAAAATTCAAATTAAATTTGTTCAAGTAAAAATTTGACCTGATTCTAAAATTAACCTCAAATTATCAGTGCATTCCGAAATACTTTCAACAATTTACGTGAATATCATTAATTTTAAAATAATTACTATTCATCTAAAGGAAATTTCAGTAAAATATTCATGAAAATCACAAGATAAATCTTTTAGAGTAGTTTATCAGACTATTCGATCTGCTTTAAAGTAATAATTCACTGGAAAAATATCTTGAAAACTTTTAATTACTTGACACCTTATAAAATTTATATATTTCAACATTGTACTAGTTGCGCAAAAATGCACAACGTTGCAGAAATGGGAAATAATTTCAATTTCAATTTTAAAACTTGAACAAGTAAATATTGCTACAACAGATGAATGCATGTATAAAACTTACCTCCATTAATTCCCACATCAGCATCTTCTGCAGTAACACGGAGAATGCTTTGATGAAGTGGCGTATCGTCTGTTATTGTAATGGAATATTTCGTAGGATAAAATAATGGAGAGAGATCATTTTTATCGAGAACTTTAACATCGACAAGCGTTTCAGCTTCCTGTATCGTCCTTTTCTTTGTTCCTATTCTACTACTACGTGTTATTGTTGCTTTTATACGCAATCGATAATTATCGCCTTTCTCGCGATTTAATACTATATTGTTTGTGCGAGTTCGTATTGTTAAGAATGCAAAATCACCAACAATTCGTTCTTCAGCCTTAAAAATTTTATTTTTATCACCACCAACAATTTGATATTTTACATCGATATGATGCATTGATCTCATCTCATCATCTTTACTATTATTACTATGCTCGTATAATTGAATACCCATTCGTTCCTTATCACTATATGGTTGAATGGCAAATGTTTTTTGTACACTATTTTCGGGTATTGTGACATTATAAATTGGATGTGCAAATTTAAATTGATATGGAATTTCATTGGCTTCACTACTGCTACTAAGTTGATGATTTTGCTCCGACGATAATGATGATGATACTGATGATACTGAGGAAGATAAAAATGATGGCAGCGCTGATGATAATAATAATGAGGCCGTCGTTGATGATTCCGCTATTGATGTCACATCTTCATCTTCATCATTTGATGCACTAATGCTCCCAAATGATTGAATCTGCGGTATAGGAGATGAATATTTGATTGATGAATGCGATAACAATGATGTTGTATGTGCCAATGCAGCTGGTGTTGTTTTTGATGTCGGAAGCACAATAGCATTGAAATTATTGCCAATCGATGAGGCAAGTGTTGTGGCAGTGCTACTATCTTCATCATCATCAATGTTTATATAGTTTGAATAGCTCTCTGCACAATAATGACGTGTAAAGGTTGTCAATAGTAGTAAAATTGATAAGAGCCCTCGCCATCCGGGGATGTTTGATGAGCATGAACCCACCTTAAGGGCCATTTGTTTTCTCTCAGATTTGGCTATCTCATATTATTTTATTCACATTCCTCGAATCAATCTATTGGAAGAGAAGAAAAAAAAGGATAAGGGTATGAATATAATATGTATGACGAAAGTGGAATGTAATAACGTCGAATAAGCAAGTTGGGGAGAGAGGATAAGAAAAAAATATGAAAAATCAAATAAAGGACTTTATTGTTGTTATTGCTTTTGGTTAGGGCTGACTGTAAGAGGGTAGGTTGATAAAAAGGGATGAAGGGACAGCAGAAGGCTACAAAATACTGAATAAGATCGAAAGAGTAAAATAACAAAATTTGTTCAATAAATATACATGACAATTGGATGGCAATATTAAATATCATCGCTGTCAAAAAAACACAAATGACCACAACTCTCATATCTCTCCATCTCTATCTCTCCATTTCACTTTTATACATTTTTATTTTATTTATGTGTTTTGATTTCTCCTTTTCACTGTAGCATCTTTCATTCGTTTTTATTATGATGCCAGTGGGAAGTTATTTTATTGTTTTATTAAATTATGTCCAAAAAAAGTCAAGCAAGCCAGTCGGATCGAAAAATCTGTGTTTTCACTTTCGGCAATTGACCAATTTTTTTTGCAAATACTGCTGATGATGTAATAGTCAGTTTGTCGAGATCGAAAAGATGATTTTAAAAGACTCTAAAGCCTTTGGTTGTTATGTATAATTTAAAAATAATAAAATTCATCAATTCCATTGATTTTGTATTTGGTAAAATTTTTTCATGGAAGCATAACTGACAATGGATCAAGACATTTAATTTGAATTTTAAATTGTGTTTGTTTACATTTTAATGTGAATTTTTAGAACATTATTCTGATTTCTCTGCCTACAGAAGGCCTTCTTGCTAATTTCATTCACAGAAGATATAAAAATAAAATAAAATATTTCGATGAGATTGGAATAAACAAAATTGCAGAAAATATCCATTAGAAATTTCCCGAACAATGTTCTGAATTTAAGAAAAAAGAAATACCATTAATGCTTGATTTTCGAGTGAGGATAATATTCATGGCTATCAAATTACCATTTTCAGTATTTATGTGCTGATTTAATTGATATCTGAATCTCTTCAAAATCAAATAGAGAATAAAAAATTTATATTTGCACTTATCAAATTGAAATAAATTGAATTGAATTAACTTAAGTTATTGAACGAAAAAAAAAAAATTACTTTAAGAGGCAAATAAAACTTTTTTGCGAAAATATTGCGAAACGAACATGCTATTAAGTTCAATTTGGTTGGACGATTGGTGGGTGGGTGGATGAATGGATAGTTGAATGTCTGAACAGAAAATGGAGCGTTTCGAATCTTAAAATCAACCGTAATATTTTATTGTTATGATAGAGCATTTGCATAAGTTTGGTACCTTTTTTTTCTCGGCAAATTTGAATAATTTTGGGAAAAAATCAGAGATTTAAAGTTTTGATTTGATTTCAGTTTTTGAATATTAAAATGATTTTAATTCTCTAACTGCTGATTCTCCCCATAAAAAATTGTTTTTGATATTTAAAAATACTCGGCGCCTTATTTATTAAACTCATAGTGACTTGATACAATTTATCTCAATATAAAGTCTCAATAAAAATAAACTTTATGAATTCAAAATTAAGTTTTAAATCAAATAAAATAGAACAAAAACTAAAATGGAACTCGTTAGAGTGGTCAAAAAGTCGCCATAAATGACGATTTGTTATACTTTTCCTGACCGAAAAATAAAAAGTTTTTCTTTTAATCAAAATGGATTTAATGAAAATTATGACTAATTTCCTACTACACAGCGACATAATTTTTCATCATTTCCTACTGTGAAAAACATTTTCATAACGAAGCAAATTAAACGAATGGAAATTAAGTCAGATACACCATATAATCTAAATAATTAGCATTTCAGACTTGAGGGAAGTTTAGTTTCTCTTTTCTAATAATAGAGTGGAAATTCTTTTTCGTAAAGTTTTTCCTCTCCATCGAAAAATGTTTAAATAGTTTGCGGTACTTTTTGTTGCAATATTCAAACTAGAAACTTGCATGATTAACCCTTTCCATAGAAAATTTTAAACTTTCAATTTCTTCTTTGGAAAGCAAGAACCAGAAAAAATTATAAACAAACATTTCTAGAAAGATCTATTGCTTGAGGTTCTTTTTTTTTGTTCAATCAGTAGCTTATTTACCATATGAAAATAGCTTTAAGGAAGGTTAAAAAATACTAATTTTGCAAACAGAATTAAAGTAAACAACACTGAGTAAGTTATTAGACCTTCTTATTTTTAGATGACCTTTTACTAGAATTTTTTAAAATCAGAATATGCAAATTTTCTTCAATCAGCCATCCTGAAAGTTCTTTTGATTATTGAATAAGGCCCTAGCAGGAATTTACTAGTAATTTACTGGATAACTTTCCATTTGCTACTTGCTTTTTACTAATCAAAATCTAAGTTCAAATCTTCGCCAAAGACCCGCATTTTCACTTGCTAATTGACTAGTCAATTCGCTTACAATTTAACTAGTAATTTACTAGCAATTTTGATAAAAATTAAATGAATATAACCGTTGATTTCCACGTGTTTTTTTGATTTTTCTTATTGGTGTAAATTATTTTAAAAGCATTAGTGTGTACTTAATTAAAGTACACTAACACTATGAAAAAAAATAAAAGGCTTATTTTAATTAAGTCGAACACTAATGAACGCCCATGACTCGCACGCAAACCTGAGGAAGATAAATAATCAGTTGAAAGTCGCATACAAATTTAGATCGAGATTATAAAGGTGATTTCTGCGCGCTCTTGTGAAGTATATGGCAAATGCCAAATTTAGAACAAAATTTTTTATGACGCAAAATATTCTTTTTTTGTTGATTTTTCGTAGGATTCGAACTTAATAAGATTTGATCAAACATTTTACATGGTAATTTGCTAGTGATTTGCTATTAAATAGCAAGTGTTATTTACTAACAGTAAGTTGTTTTAATAATAACTAGTAAATTGCAAGGAGTTGAATAGAAAGACTAGCAATATGCTAGTTAGTCTCGCTAGGGAGGTACTTTTGTCTTCTATTGACTTAAATTAGAATTTTAATTGATGTGTGTTTTCTTGTAAAACTTAAATAGATAAACTATTCATTTGTCTTGAAATTAATTGCTTGATAAAAATGTAAACAAGCAACAAAATGAAAATTTGAATTTGAATATTTTATCTTTTTCACAGAAGCTTGTGTAGGCACGTTAATTATTAAATGCGTCTTCGGAAAGCAATTATGAAATTGTATAAAAATATGCTCAAATGAAATTTTCCAAAATAAACTTTAAAATTTGTTGAAATTACTTTTCAAATTTTGAGGATTATTTTGTTTATTTAAACTTAAAAAATGAAAAGTTTTGAATTAATTTGACACGTTTTCATAAAAATTTCTCTTTTTTAAAATATTGAAGGAATTTTTTAAAGTTTCAAACATAAATGGGTTTATTTCAACATGACGTTCGGCAATTAAATATGGAAATTAAGTCTAAGTTGTAAGAAACTGACGATAAATCTTTATTTTCATAGACATTTTTAGAGAATGTAACCCAACACAAAAATTCTTAGTATTAATAAACACATTCCTTTATGTTTTGTAAGTGTACAGAAACTTTGTTTTGCATACTTTCTTGCCAAACAACCCTTTTGATGTGTCTAATTATTTCAAAGAATCAAATTTCATGAAATTTATGAGTTTTATGAAGGAATTTTATAATTAATCATTATTTGAATCCTTATCGGTATTAAATTTCATTGAAAGAAACTTTTTAAATTTTAATAAGATGTTGAACCGATTTCTGGAATATTTTTGTGTATTTTAAGTATGCATCTATTAAATAGTCTTCTGAAAATATATTTCATATGCAGCAACCATTTTAATATTCAATCACACCCAAAACTCTATCAAAATCAATCAAAAGGAATCATATTAACAACCCAACTCGAAAATTTCGTTAATTAGAATTCAAATTAATTTTCTAATGCAAATTTCAAGTTTTCAAAATGATAATCATTAGCACGGAATATTTTTCAAATTAAGCTCCATTATGAGAATATTTGAGAACTGATATTTGTTAATTAATGACTAAAATCTAAATATAATTATGTAATTATTTCCAAGTAGTAATTAAGTTACGTAGTCAGTCTACCAATAAACTGATAAATTACTTTTCCAACTTACGGTAAAGTTTATTCGCTTCCCTTCTTGCGCCTTTTTCGAGACTAATTCGATAAAATCATTATAAATACAAAAATTAATCAAACAAGCTTTGAAGTTAAGTTTTGGAAAAAATTCACATGTCAAAGGTTATTAAGCGCATTTATTTTCAAAATTTATTGGTTTAACGGTTGGTTTTTTTTTTGAATATTTAAAAAAGTTCTGGATTTAATTTTTACAAGAACAAACAAAATTGTTATCACGAAATCAATTTTGTAAGCACAAAAAATCTTAAACATCCTCAGACATCAATTCACAGTAAAACTTATTCACATTCATTTCAAAAAGATGTGAATTTTTTAAAAAATCAATTTTCTTTTTCATTTCACATCACGACAAGAGCCTGTTTCTTCAATATGATAGCTCCTACCATAAATTGTCATAATAGAATTAAACCGAACAACATAGTTAGCTAACAGCTGTGAGTAATTGACATTTTCAATTTCCTTTGAAATATAAAAATCAATTTCCGCATTTTCACAGTAATTTTATTTTATTCCATTATTTTTATTGTTATTTCTTCTCTTCTTTCTCTCATTTTTTATTAATAAAATTTCTTCTTTGCTGGGATAGCTTTGGGAGTATGAGTAGCACAGACCAGAATTGTTACAAAAACAATTGAAGGGAATATGAAAGCTAAAACAATCTTCAGATGAATATAGTTTATTTATTAGGAATCGTTCACTTATGACGTTATCCTTTTCAAGAGAGAAGATTCAAAAAACG